AGTTCGTTCGTTTGTTTGTTGATTTATTCATTCATTTGTTTTAATAGTTATTTAAATTTGGACATAATATTTGGAGAAAAATTTGATGTTTATCGAATATGCTGATTACCTAACAATAGAACGTTTTCAATGTCTTTCACGCAGTTAAAATTGTTCTCACATCGTCAATGCTGTCGTTCAATCAACAGTCTAATAATGAACCTTCCAAAATAATTCACATTTTGACTCGTTTCAATTAATTTCGACAAATTTCAACTTGAATTCGAGTGACTTTCAAGCTATAATTGCACTTGCTCAGCTCGGCTCGCGATCGAACCCTCTACGAGAAGGTCTACAGAAAACGGTCGGCACTAATATTGGCCGGACCGCTCGAAATCTTGATGTTTTCGGTATATAGTATCATGATTCGACTAAATTGTTATCATTACCTGTGTATCACCAAATACACAGTATAGCACGATTTTTTAATGTGACGCTGATATAGTAACGAAATTAATAATAGCAATAGACAAAAAGGTCAGTAGCCATGCAGTAATAATACTTATTCAACGAGTTCGTATAATTACACCTACTTTTATTACTTATACTTGCACGCACACGCACGCGCACATACACACATACATAAGCTACATAAGCACGTACATGATGATCGTACGATCAACCAACATATGGAAGGAAGTTTTTTTAATTTTATTAAATCACTTTGTTTTTAAGATTTATTGAAAGATAAGTATTATTGAAACGGGATTGGTAATTCGGAACGAAACCGTTTGGGCAAATGACGTCATTTTAAAAGTAGTTTCACAGTATGTTAGTGAATTAGCCAGAATAAACATTGTATTCGATTCCTATAAATAGATAGATATGTGTAGTTATTAAATATAAATAAATAAATAAATATATATATATATATATATATACTAGCTAAATATATATATATATATTTATACATTTAAATTTTACAATTAAAGTGAAGTAAGGTGTGTGGAGTAAAATTATTTTGAATTCTCTCGAAATAATTTGATTTGAACCGCGCGCATACATACACATGTAACAGATTTCTGTTGGTTTTATAAAGAAGTTATGTAATAAATATATATAAAGAATTTAGAATTTATGTATACAAATAATTACTAAGATTATATGTCTGCATAAAAAGAAATACAGCAGTTCCAACCAGTCAATCAATCAGAATGTTTCGAAGTTTGAGTAGCTCTGTTGTCAAGAATGTATATTAGTGTATTACATAAAATCAAAAATCAATAACATTCATCAATAGAATTTTTACAAATGTTAATGATTGAATTGATTGTAAGTATAATATATAAAAGAAATGAACTAAAAGAAATACATTTTTTTATTTTTCAATAGTTATGTGAAAAAGGAGTGATCTCGATTAAATTTGAATTCAACTAGCTAAACGTATACACATACTCGAGCCTTCCCATCAGGAAGTCAGTAGGCGGTCGTTGAATTCATTTTAGTATAGTTAATATATTGTTGTTAAACACATATAATAATGTTTCCTATACATTAAATAAAGTTTTTTAAAGATGTCAATCATTGAAATGATAAGAATGATATGAATGGAACTGGTATAAATAGGAGCTGAAAATGCGTTGAAATCCGACCGGGCGCGTTAGGGCATTCCCTTAGCGCCTGGTCCCTTTTTTTTATTTCTCTATTTTATTTTTTAGTTAAGTTATTTATTTTTTCTAGACTTGTTCGTTACTTATTATTTATAGATTTATTCGTTTATTTTATTCGTTACTTATTATTTCTAGATTTGTTCGTTTATTTTATTGTTATTATTATTATTGCACGGTCACACATACACAAACAAACAAACAAACAAACACACACACACATACATACATATATTCGTTGTTTTGTTTGCAGCTTGATGTTTTATTCTCTTTTCCTTACTTTTTTCTTCGTAATTGTAGCACAAATAGGTAGGATTAATTCGTAAGTTGAGCTAATTGAACATAGGTAGGTGAGTTAATTTAGTGAACATAGGTAAGTTAGGGACTCTATTCTTTCTTTCTTACGTTCTAGTTTATTTGTATTGAATTTGTTTTGTATTGTTCATTGTTCAACACAACACCAACAGCAGCAATCAAACACAACAATCAACACTACTATTTTTGTTATATGTTTAGTAAGTTGTTTATTATTTCTAGACCATTCGTTACTTATTATTTCTAGATTTTTTCGTTTGTTTTATTGTTATTATTATTATTGCACGGTCATACATACACACATAAAAACACACACACACATACTCACATACATACATACATTTATTCGTTGTTTTGTTATCTTGATGTTTTATTCTCTTTTCCTTACTTTTTTCTTCGTAATTGTAGCACAAATAGGTAGGATTAATTCGTAAGTTGAGCTAATTGAACATAGGTAGGTGAGTTAATTTAGTAAACATAGGTAAGTTAGGGACTATTCTTTCTTTCTAACGTTCTAGTTTATTTGTATTGTATTGTTTTGTATTTTTTTTGTTCAACACAACACCAACAAAGCAATCAAACACAACAATCAACACAATATTTTTTTCGTTATATTTTAGTTAAGTTTAGTTAAGTTGTTTATTATTACTAGACCATTCGTTACTTGTTATTACTAGATTTGCTCGTTTATTTTATTCGTTACTTATTATTTTGATTTATTTCTTTATTTTATTCGTTACTATTATTTCTAGATATATTTGTTTTTTTAGAGTTTGGACACACAAACACACACATACATACATACACACATACATACATACATTCGTTGTTTTATTTGCTTGATGTTTTGTCCTCTTTTCCTTACTTTTTTCTTCGTAATTGTAACACAAATAGGTAGGATTAATTCGTAAGTTGAGCTAATTGAACATAGGTAGGTGAGTTAATTTAGTGAACATAGGTAAGTTAGGGACTCTATTCTTTCTTTCTTACGTTCTAGTTTATTTGTATTGTATTTGATTTTTGTTTAACACAACATCAAAAACAACAATCAAACACAACATCAACACATTATTATTTTCATTATATTTTAGTTAAGTTTCATTATTTTATTTCTTTTTTTAGTTAAGTTGTTTATATTTCTAGACCTATTTGTTACTTTTTATTTCTAGATATATTCGTTTATTTTATTCGTTACTTATTATTTCTAGATTCGTTCGTTTATTTTATTGTTATTATTATTGCGCGGTCATACATACGTACATACAAATCAAATTTAGTCAGACGCTTGGCTTTTGGTGTCATTAGTCAATAATTTGGTTTAAACATACATACATACATACATACATACATACATACATACATACATACGTTCTACAGGCTACCCCAGACGTCAGTAGCAGTTCTACAATCAATACAGAATCGTGCAGCTAAACTAGTATTAGGTGGGCTGTGGTTCGATCACGTTACGCCGATTTTGAATGATCTCCACTGGTTGACAATCAACAAGAGGATAATCTTCAAAATAGCGGTCATAATTTTCAAATCGCTAAATGGCCTGGCTCCGGAGTATTTGTCAGGAAAACATTCCCGTCGAATTTCAGTCTGAGATCAGACGATATGAACCTTTTGATAGTACCAGTTAATCGTTTGCAAATAGGATTGTGTGACATTGCTGTTGCTGGCCCGATAGTTTGGAACGCTCTGCCGGAGTTGCTAAGAAGACCTGGAAATTCTTTGAACAATTTTAAAAAAGAATTAAAAACGCATTTATTTTCTTTGGTTTGACATTTAGTATTTTTCTTTAATCGTTCACTCGTATACTGTTTTATTTATGTGTGCTTTAGAGATTTTTTATTTAATTAGCGCTATATAAATGAACATTATTAATAATAATAATGCATACATGCATGCATACATACATACATACGTACATGCATACATGCATTCATACATGCCTACATTCATGCATACATACATACACACATACATACATACAAGATATATATTTAATAAATAAATACAAAAAGTGAGAAAGAAAAATGTTAGAACATGAAAAATAAAATGAAATAGAATAAAATGAATAATAATAATAAAATAAATGAAAGAAAAGTAATCGACAATGAAATATAAAATGAAGTAACGGCATAAGCTTTTCCGTTAACATTTATTCTAGTTTATTATGAACAAACAATAAATTTGTTACATAATGGGGTATTCCAAAAGAGTGAATCTTAACTAAGCGTTGAAACGTAAACAGTACATAATAAAATAAAAGATGTAGATAGTGAACATATGCGCTGTATAGAGTGCAAGCAGAGCTTGTGAAAGAAAGTTATTTAATGGTTTTGTTCTGCTCATTTGTAAGCTGCGCCTTCAAAGAGTTTAAGGTTCAATTTGAAGACAAGTCTCGAGATAAAAATCGTTATTTAAATAAATATAAAGGATTACACTAGCATAATGAGAAGGCATTTTACCAGTTCTTTTATTTCTAACAATAATAATTATACTTTATTAATTCTGCGGAGATTATTGACAAGTAAGCAGTTTCTTACAGTTTTTAAAACCAAGTTTTTCTTTATGATGTGTGTAAAGATGATTCGGTAATTTAAATAACATGAGTGTAAAATTATATTTTATGTATAAACCTCGATTAACTTTTCTCACTTAGTCAACAATGTTTACATAATTTATGTTTCAAGTACTTGATGTAGTACTAACCAACCCTTTCTCTGCCGTCTGATCCGGAAAATTATTTTTAGTGCTCTACTAAAAAATTAAAATAATTTTTTAAACCTTTCAAACTTGACAGATTGTGGAATAATGTCCTCGGAAGAAATTGATATTTATCAGCCTCCCCACCACATCCAGACAAATGCTCATTGCAAGAGCATGCGAGATTACGAAGCCATGTATAAAGACTCCATCGAGAACCCAACAGACTTCTGGCACAAGATAGCTCAAACATTCTATTGGAAGAAGCTTCCCTCTCTTGAGAATTTCTCTACTTACAATTTCAACTCGAGTCGTTCACCAATCACCATAAAATGGATGTCTGACGGCATAACCAACGTCTGCTACAACGTGCTGGACAGGAATGTTTACGAAAGAAAAATAGGCGATAAAGTAGCTTTTTATTGGTCTGACTTTATTTTTTGTCTTTTTTTATTTTTATAGCTTAGCTTTTTGAATAATACTTCTTATATTATTAATTAAATAATTAATTATATTATAATTTGTTTGGGAATTTATTTTTTGACATTTTTTTTATTTTCAATTTATTTGAAATTTTAGTATGTATTTTTTATTTTCAATTTATTTGAGTTTTTAGTATGCATTTTAAATTAATTTCAAATTTTTTTAGGGAAGGTAATGACCCAAAAGATTCATCAAAAATAACATATGCTGAACTGTTGAAAGAGGTCTGCAAGTTTGCTAATGTTCTCAAGTCTAAAGGTTTGCCTGCTAGTAGAGTCAGATTTTGACTACTCTTATAATTATAAGGCATGGGTTGTATTACATAACTAATTTCAAAAAATAATTTAAATGAAAGGCCTAACGAGAGGTGACAGAGTGGCCATATACATGCCAATGATAGTAGAGTTGTTGGTGGCCATGCTGGCCTGTGCTCGACTTGGAATCATACACTCCATTGTTGTACGTCTCTCTCTTTCTTTATCTTCTATGATAATATTTTTTTCTTTTATTTTTGGTTCATCAATATGATGTTTTTGATTTGTTTACATTTTATTTATATAGCATTTACCTTTGATGATTTGTTGTTTGTGATTGATATTTTCTGTTGTCGTTTTTTATTATTATAAATGTGGCATTGTATAATATGATGTGGATGTGAAATATGTAGAACAACTGAGAAATTAACACCTTTTTTTGTTGATTGTTATTGTTATTATTATTATTAGATAGTAATAAAAATAATTATAACTTGGTGGTTTGATTAGTTTGGTGGCTACTCGAAGGAATCACTTGGTAATCGAATCCAGGCAGCTCGTGCGGCTGTCATCATAACTGCAGGTTAACCATCTGGTCCGCGTAACTAGCCAGCATACATCTTTTATTTACTTTATATTTAAGAATGGATGTTGTAGCTTTTTTTTTTATTCTCTCAAATCAGTCTTGCTAGTTTATTCCGTCCACTTTGTTATTGTTATTATTCACAGTCAGTTCATTGCTCCTGCTTATATGGCGGGTTTATTATTTTTTTATGCGTTCTATCAAACTTAATTAAGTTCTATTGGCCAAGAGATATGTTTATGATACCATTACAATACTTTGGATCATGCTAATCTAATGATAGAAAGATTTACTTTGATTTTAAATATTTACTTGTCGTATTTAGAGTTTATTAGAAAAAGCATAATGTATATAGCAAGCAAAGAAGAAGGTGGCTTACTTTATTCATTTTTAAATTCTTCATTTTTCCTATCATTTATTTCATAATAAAATTGTTCACTTAGTTAAGGGTCTCTTAGTGCCTGTACTAGTAAACACTCAAGTGTTTATTCAGCCAGTTGCTAGTTTTATGTTTTGTTTATTTATTTATCTATTTATTCATTCATTTATTCATTCATTCATTTACTTTTCATCCCTCCTTTATTCATAATTCATTTATTCATTCATTCATTTACTTTTCATCCTTCCTTTATTCATAAATTTTTCTTCCATCCATGTTATAAGTTCAGCCATAGTGGGCCAAAGTTTGGTGGGCTTGCTGGCTTGTTTGTGTCAGTTGTTAGTCTGTATGTGCAGATCAAATATTTTCTATGTTCATTGCTTTCTTTTTATACTGCATACGTAGGCTCCTGTGTGCATTCGTTTGTTTGTATAATATGTATAAATTTAGGTACGTTTGTTTGTTTATATGTATGCATGTATGTTTGTATGTATGCATATATGTTTGTATGTAAATTTGTTGCTTTGTATGTGTGTGAGTATGTATGTGTGTATGTTTGTTTGATCGTTCGTTTGTATGTATGTGTGTATGTTCGTTTGTTAGTTTGGAGGTTTCTCTGTGAACTCATTGAAGGACAGGCTGCTGCAAACAGAATCAGCACTTTTAGTTACTGCAGGTTACTCTGACTAAACTTTATAATACCGCCATCATCATCATTATTACCATCACCACTTCCTTTATCATCTTTTACATCACCATCGGTATCGCCACCATCATTATTTTTTTCAAAAAATTTAATTAATGTTAGCATCACTTATGTTTTTGGCTTGCTCCCACAGTTTGCTTCATTTATTTCTTAGTTAGTTCTTGTTTCTCTTCGGTAATGCTAGTTGATATTTTAAATTCGAATGAATTTACATTACGGCTAAATTATTAAATTCAAAAATAATTAACTGTTAGTAGACGTTTGTTTAAGTAGTTGAAAGTCTGTGTGTGTGTGTGTGTGTGTGTGTGTGTGTGTGTGTGCTTGCTTAATTTCGTGGTTATAATGTTACAATGATGATGATGATAATTGTAACATCAGCGATAATGATATTTTGTGGCGGTGATGATAATGATAATGGTCACGTGACAGATGGAACGTGGAGAGGTGACAAGTTGTTGAACATCAAGGAAGTTGCCGACGGAGCGATTGACAGCTGTGCGAGCAAGTACCTGTTACTTCCTTCCTTCATTTCAAATTCAACTTCCCGCCTCATCATTTTATAGTCCACCTTATTTGTTAATGTGCATTTCATTTCTTTATTTCATTTCTTGCCCTGTTTGATTTATTTGACTGCAATTTTTCAAAATAAAAAAAATTTCTCATCGATCAAGTGGCTTCAAAGTCGAGCATTGCATTGTCGTGAGACATGTGACAGCCAATCACAATGCGGGAGAGAATGCTGACATGGATAAGATTGGATGTCGGCCAACCAACAAGATACAAGTATTTTCATATTGTTAAAATTTTTAATTTTCAATATTCAATATATTATAAAAGTTGCTATATGATTGCATGTGACGATCGACCCCAGCCACTACAACATCGAGACCGGCTGCTCTAACCCACTGCATCATCTCGCCGCCGACAACTACTTTTTTATTAACCTGAGACAAGCAGATTACCACTGGTGTTGTTTGCTTCTCGTTCATAATTGATATTTTGTTGTTGTTCATAATTGATATTTTGTTGTTGTTCGTAATTGATATTTTAATATAACATTGCCGTTTCTTGTAAAACTGACCAGCTCTCAAAATATTTCTTCAGTTTTCATGGCAGGCCGGGCGAGACGTGTGGTACGACGATGAGATGAGTCGGGCCAGTGATATTTGTGATGTTCAGTGGATGGATGCTGAAGATCCATTATTCATCCTCTACACGAGGTCAAAGTTTAAGAAATCGATCACAAGCTTTTACCAAAATAACAATTGACCAATCGTAACCAATCATTCAACAAATTGCAACCAATCATTTGACGAATTGCAGCGGTTCAACTGGTCGACCAAAAGGGATAATGCACAGCCAGGCGGGTTACATGGTGTACGTGGCGACCACATTCAAATACGTCTTCGATTACAAAGAGGACGATGTTTACTTCTGCACTGCGGACATCGGCTGGATCACTGGACATTCGTACGTCTGCTACGGACCCATGGCCAATGGAGCAACTAGTGTCATAGTGAGATATCTTTCCCTCTTGTTTGACGTTTTCATCGTTCAGATTGTAGATGATGATGGAATGGAAGGATGGTATGACGTTGAAATGATTATGGTGACTATGATGAAATGTAAATGGCGGCGAAAATGGTTATCAAAAATAATTACATGATGATGATGATGACGACGATGACGAGATGAGAATGGTGATGAAATGATGATCAAATGTTGCTCCCAGTTTGAAGGTGTTCCATTTTTTCCTGACAGTAGCAGATACTGGCAGATAGTCGAGAAGTACAAGGTCTGTCCGGCATTCACTATTCATTAAAAACATTGCCATCATAGTTATTATCATTCACAACACTAACAACGTCTTCATTCTTTTCAGCAAAATTGACAAGTGTTTTTTAGCATATAAATATTTTCCAACCAACCGCCGCACCTCCACCGCCAACAGGTGAACAAATTCTACACAGCACCTACGGCCATCAGAGCTCTAATGAAATTCGGCGACGATTTTGTCACACGGTACGTCCTTACACACGCGCACACACACGCGCGCGCGCAAACTCACACGCGCAAACACACCCACGCTTAGAAACAAATACACACGCAGTTGCGACCGTTCATCTCTCGAGATCCTGGGCAGTGTTGGTGAGCCAATCAACAGTGAGGCATGGTTGTGGTACCACAACGTGGTCGGGGCAGGCAGGTGCGCCATTGTTGATACTTTCTGGCAGACTGAAACTGTTAGTTAGCCTCGTGTTGCTTGTGTGATTGTTATAAAAGTTGAGTGTATGTTTTACAGTTTGTCGTGAAATTTCTGTGTCACAATGTTCGCATTGATATATCTTATATTAGGGAGGTCACTTGATCACTCCGCTGCCTGGAGCCACACCGACCAAACCCGGATCGGCTGTTAGTTAACAAATTAATCCAGTATTCACTAGTTATCATCCAACAATAAAATGTAAAAGTTAAATCTAATTGAATTTAAATTAACGTTAAAAATGAAAGTGGAATAAGAATGATTCAATTACAGACGTTTCCATTTTTTGGCGTGGAGCCTGTGCTGTTGAGTGAGGATGGTCACGTGATTGAAGGTCAAGGAGAAGGCCATCTGGTTCGTTTCTCTCAGTTTTATCATTAGCCTCGTGATAAACTCAGCAACACACACAAACAACACACAAAAACAACAACACAAACAACAACACACACACACAACAACACAAACAACAACACATACACAGGCATTCAAGAGACCCTGGCCAGGAATGATGAGAGCGATCTACGAAAATTATTCCCAATTTGTTTCTTCGTATTTCAAAAAGTTTCCTGGATATTATGCATGTGGTGATGGTTGGTGCTGATATGATAATGAGATGTCAATGATAATAAGCATGCTATGATACTAATGATTAGAAACCTAATACTGTAATATTTGATAATGGCTTATGATGTTTTCAATAAATAATCAACAATGGAATGTTTTCATAAAAGATTCATTGTACTTATCCTGGCACATTTATCATCTTCGTCGTTATCGTGTTCATCATCGCTTTCATCTTCATCTCCGTCACTGCTATCATCATCTTCATCATCGTTAGGAGCCAGGAGAGACAAGGATGGATATCTGTGGATAACAGGTAAGTTCTTCGGCCTTATTAATTGGATCAAAGCAGTGATGTTATGGTATACACGCATGCATGCAAATGAAATGTACGCTAGGTCGTATAGACGACATGTTGAACGTCAGTGGTCACCTGATCAGCACTGCAGAGGTCGAATCCGTACTCGCCCACCACCCCTCCATCATCGAGTCTGCCGTCGTCGCGAAACCTCATAAGGTCAAGGGCGAGTGCCTCTACTGCTTCGTCACCCTCAAGAACGTTAGTACAGCTGTAGTAATAATAGTTTATATAGCACTGTATACAATCTACTGAGAAGCCATTTGCAATATTATAATTTGAGAATTGACTGCAAGGAAAAGTTGCAGTTATAATGAATTTCTTAACTAAATTATTCTATTTTATAAATGAATGAATGGCCGAGTTTGAATGTTGATTCAAAAATAATTTGGAAACATACTTGTTTTCGATTTAATTATTTTTATTATTTCATTCTTCCAGTCATTCCTCTATTTTAAATTTGTGTGTGAACTCTGTGATTGTGCCTTTGAGAAACATTTTTTAAGTGGCGCTGTATTATGTTTTCTGTAATAATAATAATAAGATGATAATAGTGGCATTGCTGAAGTAATGGTGTAACATTTAATTATACATGCCTACCATAATCTTTTTACAGGGAGAAAAATTTGACAAGGAATTAGTTGCTTCAATTAAAAATCTAGGTAAACTTTCACCATTTTTATTCATGTTAACCGCTGTCATCCTACTCATGTTTGCAACGCCATCTGCATCATCGGTACCGGCACATGATTCAAACAACAACCCCAACAACAATCACATCGGCGCCATCAACTTAACAATCTAAACAACCATTTCAGTTCGAGTAAAGATGGCTCCATTTGCACAACCCGATTACATTCAAGAGGCACCAAGTCTGCCGAAGACGAGGTCGGGAAAAATTATGCGAAGGATTTTGAGGATGGTTGCCGTCGGGGACCGAAACATTGGAGACACTTCAACGCTGGCCGACGAGTCGGTTATCGAAGAACTTTTTAGGCTGAGAGTTGAATGATCGATGGTTTAGTTTTTCCAACACATGATTGGACGGTGCCGTATAATTGATTGTGATTGGACAATTGCTGTACGGATAATGATTGTGATTGGATGGTTGGTCAGTCCATTGATTGAACAATTTGGTTCATGTCTGAAAGTTTCGTTCTTGAGACTTTTAATGACGGTGGTGGCAGTAATCTTGGTGGTGAAATGTTAATTTATAATTTAAAACACCTAATTTATTGTAACTAAAAAGAATTTTGCAATACGATTGTGCTGGATTCTAGAAGCAAAAGTAATGTTTTCTGGTAATGTTTTAATTGCCATTTATTCTCATTTCTTGTTGGTAGTTATAGCGACATAGCAGTGATAGCAGCGGTAGACTCAATATTATTTCTTCTGACCCACTAACGGTAAACATTCACAATTTTTAAAAACTGGTACGCTCGTCTCATTCACATCAGTTTTTTTTATGGACTGTCATTCTTATTATTACTGCTATTATCATTGTTGTTGTTATTTAATGTCATATATTTATTTTTTATGCTACTAACGTAAATTTGATCATCTCATTCCATCAACGTCGTCTCTACTATATTACCATTTATTATTATTATTTTCGTTGTGATATTTCGGTTTTGTCCTACAAGGCATAATAATAGCAACATTGTCTGCCGTTTTTAACCGATCCTTATTAGTGTGACGAATCTTTTACAGCGTACGTCGATTTTTGAATGAACATGAAGCACCCACTCCCCATCACGGTAGGCAGTTTATTGTAAACACGACTTGCACTAGTCGAAATGTATTTTGGAAAACAACTCTTTACCACCATCTTGTTTACGCGCAAAGCAAACACATACGAAGAAAGAAGCAAATTTCCAAACATTCCTCGCGAGTCGCATGTTGTATTGTTGCATGTAATGTTGCGTAGGTATGCAGTTTACAGAAAGTAGTCGTTAATAATTAATGTTCTATCGAATGCGAGTTATATAATGAATGTGATGCAGACGTTAAAAGCGAACCAAATAACTATTTAGGCCTGGCCAACTGTCTCTATTTTTAATCATCTTTTCATTCACATTATGATAATTTTGTAGCTGCGAAATTTAAAATTCAATAAACCAGTATTTTACATCATTTAATCAAACGTTTGACTTAAACAAAAGGTGACAAATAAACAACATATGCAAACGTGTTGAGTCTCATACCCAACTTTTCAAACACTGCCATGTTCTGTAATAAAATTCACTTTTGAACAGAGCAATCGTCAGCAGTGACAGTAAAGAGACTTTAAGAAATCTGCTTAGAGGCGGAAACCTAATGTCTTTCATTTTTTTCTTGATAGTTATCATTGATGATGTCACCGCTGTCATTAATTTTGTTGTGATAGTGGTGGTGCTAGACGGGCGGAGAACCTGAGACATGAGGAAGTGCTTGCCTGTGCTCGTTATGCGTACCTTCATCATACGGCCCATCCAATCGCCATCCTTGCCAACCAGCACCTTGGAGCGTAAGACATTATTAACATATCAGTGTCAGTCATGCTGTTGTTATTCATTTTAATTTATCGTTCTACCACATACGGCTTTATCCAAGAATAAACAACTACATTGAAAATAATACACTCCAGTGGCCTATTATAATTTAATTAATCAATTTGACGACATAATTGGCAACAGTTGGGTATGACTAATCACCATGCCACCGACAGACAAGAAACTACCTGATCATAAGATTTGTTATGGCCTACATAATATCGCCCATCAGTCGAATGTTCAGTTACCAACACATCCTGCACCTCACCTATCTTTTGCAGAGGTAGAAAAAGATGATGATGGACCGAATTAAGAAATGAACCAAATGACTGAAAATCACGCCATCTTTTCGAAAAGTGTTTAACGAGTAGATAGAATATTGATTAAATAAATTCCTAATTTTATCATCATCAACATCACAATCATCACCATCATCCAGATGAGCACCTTGTGATCGTACGTGGTGTAGGAATTGAACAAGTCCGATACAATCTTCGTCCTCCTTTTCACCTGGTCGTACGTTCAACGTTTAATTACAATACTACAATAACAAACATGATGATGATGAGTGAAGTTATCAGTGGTCATTTAAAAATGGTGAAGAAAACTTGACAACAAAAACATGATGACGCAAAATAAAATGTCACCGAAGACTCAACAATAATTAAAGACAAAAGCATCAGGACTTAAGATGTGATAAATTAAATGTTTGTTGATCATTTCATGTGCTTGTTAAATGGATCACCTCCGTTGTTGGGATCTTCTCCATTTTGGCAGCCAACGTTCCGGGCCGAGGAAAAAATTGATTGATGAAGAGGCTTGGAAACTTGAAGGCTTCTATCAGCTTCAAAGTTTCTTTCAGGTCCTGTAGTTGCCAACATCATATTCTCATCAACATCAGCAGCAGCAACATAACAACCATATTCATTATCACCACCATCATCATCTTCGTCATAAGATACAGACTTCTTCAGTTTCAGCCGGGAAGCCACAGATGACATCAGTTGCTATGGTTACATCAGGAACTCTGTAAAAATGTGGTTGTAACGATTACGATGTTGTTTCAATAATGAAGAACAGAGGATCATCTAACTTTACGATGCGTTCATTATGGATTAACAATAAAGCACCAAAAGAAATCAACAAACTTCATTTTAATGTACTGAACGAGTTTCACGAAATCTTCCACTGAATATTCCCTCCGCATGCTGGTTAGGACAGCATCGGATCCAGACTGAACAGGAATGTGCAGAAATGAATAAACTCTGGGATGGCACAAGATGGCGCAAATATCCTGCACATGTAGATTACTTTTAAGCTGCTATTATACTAAATTATTTTAAATTGAATTCATTTTATTAGGCCTCCACCATTTAGCTAGAACACTAGGTAACTTGGTTTCAATTCAACTACCATCAAACAAACTTAAAACTCTTGGTGTAACCTTAGATAAAAAAAAAACCTTCTTTCTCTAATTATATCACCTCAATAGCAAAAATTTGTAATGACAACATACGCCAAATACGATACATCAGACAGTTCTTATCAACTGAGCTAGCCGAAAATTTAGCGCAATGCGTGGTATTTTTAAAATTGGATGGATTATTGCAATTCAATAACGTTTGGCATACCTAAGAAGTAGGAAACATGCCTTCACAGAATAACGAACCGCGACACACCAATGAGCCATCACGTATCGTCAACCTTACTTAAACTCCACTGGCTTCCCCTACTTTTTTGCATCCTTACGGAATTGCTATCATCTTCTTCAAACTCCATTTAACACGTTCGCCAGTTTATCTCAACAGCCTACCACAGCAAGCAACAAAAAACTTTTTGATCTTCCACATCTCCATTTTTTCTACAACAAAAACAACAAACATTGCAAAGAAGCTTTTTGATATACTATTCCACACATCTGGAACCTGCTTCTAACCAAACGTCATAAACTGCACCACTCTTCAACATTTCAAGTCGTTTTTAAAAAGTCATTTTACTTAAAAGATGCTTTTTGGAAACGCAATTAACTTAATTTATTAGTTAATTCATTAATGTCGATGCCAAAGGTGTCTCGATCGCTAACCACGACGCTTTATAAATCATTGCTATTATTAAATTTATGAATTTAGCTTAGTTTCAATAATGGCAATTCGTTTCTTTATCTAAATATTCTTCCACCTAATCAGTTTAATTCTTCTAACCTATAATCCATCCATTTATAAACACATTCATTCATCCAATTCATCCATCCATCTATGCACCTCAACATGTTCGGAAATGTATGGTGGGTTGGTCATTCCCAATCTGACCATGCAGGGCTCAGGAACAACTTCCAACAACCTCCACAACAACTGAGGCAGACTCACCCCAATGTCCCTACCGTAAGCTCCCAGGTCTTCTGATGTCAACCACAACTCTACGACACCCTCTGTAGAATCAAAATTATTCAAGTTATAAAAAGTTAAAGAGAAAAAACAAATTAATAAATAACTATGAAAGCATAATTATTAAAAATGAAGTAAACAATAAATAAATGATCGATTCATTCTGAATTAATTATTATCAAACTCCACGAATGACCGGCGACATGCATCATCACCCCAACAACCTTTGAATGACTGGACAGCCCTCTCTATAATATCATCAATAGAGTAGCTACCTAACTCTCCTCTAGCATGCTTTGTCTTGCAGTATGTACATTGGTTAAGACATCTGTCACATTTAATAAAAACTGTCAACTACTTAAATGATAAATTGGAGTTAGTAATTTGTGTAATATATATATTTTAAAAGCTTACATTAAATAAACACACAAAATCCAAACAATTTAAAGGTATTATTGATTTGAATTATTAGATATGCAATGACCCAGTGTTTATGGCAATGATTTCCACAAGTGGGTTTTTTCTTATTTTAGGCAAAGATAGTGAAGCTCCACCACCTTTTCGGCCATCAATTTTTTTCTTCTGCATCAGTTGAACTGTGTGGCCTTGGCATTGTGTGTATTAAATGGACAGGCATAAACTTTTGTTGTATGGTGCACAGATGCATGATATATGAATATATTTGGAATGTACAATGTACATTATACAAAGGTTCATGTAAATGAGTGATACATGTTATCGGAGGCATGACATAAGAATGCTTAATATATTGATGCATCAATATAGTAAGATACAGTAAGATCAGATTTAAAACACCTTTAAATGTTTCCTCAACAACTTCAACAATTCGCTCAATCTGTTGAACGCCAATGATACTCAAACCCTGGAAAAACATCATAAAAACATCTTTAATGTAATAATGTGTCACCTAATCAATCAATCTTCGTTTTGCGTCCAGAGACCCGGTTTCCCGAGGTAGGATGATTCACCTATCTAATTTTAATACAGGCATATAACTTTATGCAGATATAGGTACAGTCACCTCCATACATGCAAAGGTCACAACATTCATTAATTACTAAGAAAACAAACAGATGGACAGTGACAACATTAATTATAACTCATTCAACCTGAATGTAAGCAGATTTGGGTTGACCCTGAGGTACACAGCCAGCCAGCACAATGTGCTTATTTAACTTGCGAGCTTGTTCAATTTCATTTCTAAAATGATCTTCTGATGGATTCTTTACTGTGCAACTGTTTAGCAGCCACATGTCGGCTAACAATTTGTCGTCTAAAAAATTAGGAATTAGAATGAGGTACAAAATTGTATATAGTTGCTTAAAATTGTATCTTATACAACTTATAAAGAAAAAAAAATATGAATAATGGCAGAACGCATTTCCAAAAACAACACTTTATAACAAGAAAGAATCATTATTCAACAGCATCATCAAATCAATAACCATAATGCATTGAAATTAAACAGAACGTAACACAGACCAGTGATTAAATAACCATGGGCAGACAACTGACCAGCCATATATTCACTATCTGAATTGTTGTGACTACAACCCCATGTCTTCAGGTATATCTTCTGGCTGCCTGCATGATATCAATTATTTGAATCAGTTTCATTTGCAACCTAACATATTATTATACGTCCTAACAGGTCTTTGGACGCAAAATGAAGATTGATTGATTAATTTGTGTTATTTTATCTTCTATGTTGACGTTATTAATAATTGGTTTCAATGAAATTTGATTCACATCAAACATTGATTCACACCACACAGCCAGGTCAGTAGGACAAAATGAGAATAAATAAAAAATAATATATTTATAATTTATATTAGTAGCTGAAAGCAGATAACTGATAAAGTCTTGGAAATATAATATGAACCTGAAATGATACTGTCTCCTATGGGAGGTTGATAATCATCTATTGCACTTGTCAATTTGTTTTTGCTTTGAATTTTTTTCCTTCTTTCTGGTTTTGGAAAAATGAATTTTCTCTCTATTCTTTCATTAACAACTTCATCATGATCATTGCTCATCAAATCTTCAATATCGTCAATTAAAACGTCTTCCATCTTCCTTAACTTAATTTTAATTCAGTAATAACTGTTAAGCAAACAAATTTTTTAAATAAATTAGAAAATAATCACAAAAATAGTTTTAATTTAAATGACGATAAAGAAAATACATTCACGCCGAACGTCTACTGACTACCAATCAAGCTCATTAGACGTCTTCAACTTAGTTTAATATACATGCATATATATTATATATATATATGTTAGAGCAAGGGGAGGCCTATCTGTATATTGATACAACACTTTCTTAAGGGTTGAAGCAGGGATATGCAAAGAATTTCAATTTTTAAACTTTTAATTATTTTCGATAATGTCGATTTTTTTTTAAATTTATACTAAATAAAAGTAATTAATTACTACATTGAATAATAATTAAAAAAAATTAAAATTTTAACATTTTAAATAAAAGCAATTTTCATGTTTTCGCTTCCTCTTAACTCGTGTTAAACACTCTTTTGCTAAATCTGCTTACTCTCTACCTACTCTCTCTACTTCCCATCACTTACGAAGTTCAGAGCGGATCTCAAGACCCATCTGTTTGTAAAATTCATTGAGGAGCGCTGTTGAACATCGCCAAAAAAGCGCTTTACAAGCTAAATGATTGATTGATTGATTCCATAATTAGTAAATATATGATCGTAACTTTTGACTCGAACGATAAAAAATCACCCTTACACTCCCCTTCGGAAGTAAGCTCCTTGTTCGACCGTTGAAAGTGAGCGAAGGCCGTTATGTATCAAACAGTATCTTATTGAATATCATAAAATGTATTGTATCATAAAATGAATGAAGATACTTTTTCGAAAATTAAAAAAATTTTCAATTTGATTTCATTGCGATATCGATGATGATGATTGTGACCTGACCAATTAAAAAACATCAAATAAAATTTATTAAATAGGATGGGTAATTCGTAGAGAAATCTTTGGAGGAAATGATATCATGTTAACAGTAGTTATTTTACTGCATGGTAGATAATCAGCCGGTATAAAGGTTGTACTCACTCAATTCTTATCAAATAAACTTAACCAAATATCATACTCAGGCAGAACTAAATAAAGAAATAGATAGATAGATATATTACATTTGTAATATTGTATTTAGTTCAATATTGTATTTACACATTCAAATTGTACAATGATGTTATGGTGTAGTCTCAAAGAAAAATTTAAACTTTTTAATATATACTAGTTACTTTTATCAACAGTTTAAAATAATTTTCAATTTGATTTCATCGCGATATCGATAATGATTTTTGCGAACTGTCTAATTAAAAAGCATCAAAGAAAATATTTAAAATAGGATGGAGAATTTGTTATATTGGGATATTCGTATATAAAGCGAGCAAAATTTTAATATAAAAGCGCTTATAAATCTACGCATATTGGCTCAGCTTGGCTTGGCTCGGCTTGGAATCGGATGATAAGCAAACTATTTTGAATTTTCCCAGTAAAATTTTAACAGCGTGCGTACATATATAGCACTGATTGCATTTTGCTTTTATAATGAATTTGTATACTATATATTAATATATATGAAGCGAGCAAAATTTTAACATAAAAGCGCTTAGAAATTTACGAATATTGGCTCAGCTTGGTTTGGCTCGGCTTGGAATTGGATGTTAAGCAAGGTGTGGTCTCAAACTATTTTGAATTCTCCCCAAAAAATTTAAACTGCGTGTGTACATGTATAGCATTGATTATTATTGCTTTTATAATGAATTTATATTATACTGATGTGAATGATGAAAATGTATGGTTGAAACGAGTATAAATAGGTGCTGAGACAACATGAAAATCAGATCAAGCATTCTGCTTCGCTTGAAGCAGTCTGTTTGATCTCATTTATTTTATTTTTATAATTTTTTTATTTTTATTTTTTTTATTATATAGAGTTATATATGTTGCCTGTGGTTTGTGTGTGGTATTTTTTTATATTTTAGGTGGGCTCTTTAGCGGTTGCTCAAACACACATACATACATAATGTTTGTTTGTGTGGTAGTATTTTATGTTCTGTTTTACTCTTTTTTTTCTTCCTTCATGAGTTTTGAGTTAAGTTAATGAAACATAGGTAGGTGAGATTAAAAATTAATTTATTATATAGGTAGGCTAGGGCATAAGGTAATTTAGTTATATAGGTAGGTTAGGGACTTCTATTCTTTTACTCTACTTGGTGGTGAGTTTTTTGTTTTTCGTTTTTTTGGTTTTGTTTCACACCATACATATAACAGGTACGGGGTGGTTCCTGGTTTTAGTGGGATTTTTGTTGATTGAATGTGGTAGTATGCATGGTTATATAGAATTATATAGAGTTATATAGAGTTATATAGAGTTTGCGCGGCTATATAGAGTTATATAGAGTTTGCGCGGCTATATAGAGTTATATAGAGTTTGCGCGGCTATATAGAGTTATATAGAGTTATATAGAGTTTGCGCGGCTATATAGAGTTATATAGAGTTATATAGAGTTTGCGCGGCTATATAGAGTTATATAGAGTTTACGCGGCTATATAGAGTTATATAGAGTTATATAGAGTTTGCGCGGCTATATAGAGTTATATAGAGTTATATAGAGTTATATAGAGTTTGCGCGGCTATATAGAGTTATAAAGAGTTTGCGCGGCTATATAGAGTTATAAAGAGTTTGCGCGGCTATATAGAGTTATATAGAGTTTGCGCGGCTATATAGAGTTATATAGAGTTTGCGCGGCTATATAGAGTTATATAGAGTTTGCGCGGCTATATAGAGTTATATAGAGTTTGCGCGGCTATATAGAGTTATATAGAGTAATATAGAGTTTGCGCGGCTATATAGAGTTATATAGAGTAATATAGAGTTTGCGCGGCTATATAGAGTTATATAGAGTTTGCGCGGCTATATAGAGTTATATAGAGTTATATAGAGTTTGCGCGGCTATATAGAGTTATATAGAGTTTGCGCGGCTATATAGAGTTATATAGAGTTTGCGCGGCTATATAGAGTTTGCGCGGCTATATAGAGTTATATAGAGTTTGCGCGGCTATATAGAGTTATAGAGTTGTATGTTTGTCTGTGGTTTGTGTGTTTGTATGTGGTATTTTTTTTATTTTAGGTGGGTTCTTTAGCGGTTGCTCATACATGCATTACATACATCATGTTTGTTTGTGTGGTAATATTTTATGTTCAGTTTTACTCCTTTTTCTCTTTCTTCATGAGTCTTAGTTAAGTTAGTAAAACATAGGTAGGTGAGATTAAAAATTAATTTATTATATAGGTAGGCTAGGGCATAAGGTAATTTAATTACATAGGTAGGTTAGGGACTTCTATTCTTTTACTTTACTTTGTGGTGTGTTTTTCGTTTTGTGTTTTTGTTTTGTTTCACACCATACATTCAACAGGTACGCGGTGGTTCCTGGTTTTAGTGGGATTTTTATTTATTGATTGTAATATATATTTTTATTCCTACAGGACTTACTCTCTACGATTTAGTCTTTCTTTCTTTTTTACCATTTTTATTTATTTAAGATGCGTCATTCAGCACACCTACTCAAACACACGCATTATATTAGATAACTATATAGGTAAGTTAGATAGGGGTAATTTTAATTGTAGGTAGGATAGATAGGAAGCATCCAACACTAATGTCGTTGAATAGGTAGGCGCGTAAGTTTATCGCTTCTATTTTTTCTTGCACCTACATTACACGCATCAGCGTACACACACGCAAGTACAGACATAAACACATGTATTAGTTTCTGAGCGTAATTTTATTTTCATTACACATTTTAACTTATTATTACTAAGGTTGAGAGCAATTTAATTTCATAGGTAGTTAAGGGCAATAATGTAATTCTAGGAACAATCTTGTAATGTAAATTAAATGTTGTAAGTGTATCGATAGGTAGGTTAATTATTAAGTTTAAATTATTATTATTAGGTTGGAGCCCAAGGCATTATGTAGGTGGTGGGGTGGGGCCGATTGGCGAATGAATTGGGCTCTTGAGCTTTGTAATTTTAGGTAAGCTAAGGCCGTAATGTAATGAATAGGTAAGTTAAGGCTACGTTGTACACACATACTCATTAATAGATTTAGGGTTTAAGTTTTACATTTTTTTTACTAAGTTGGAGTCCAAGGCATTATGTAGGTGGTGGGGTGGGGCCGATAGGCGAATGAATTGGGCTCTTGAGTTTTATAATTTTAGGTAAGCTAGGGCTTAATTGTAATGAATAGGTAAGTTGAGGCTTATACGTTATTAGCTAAGGCACCTGAATAGGTAGATAGGATTATTTATATATAACTAATTTGAGACGCGTGCACTTATTATTAACCCCCTCATGAACGGCTGCCTTGACGTGGCGAGGGGGCTTCTCACTAAATGCCGTTCACTTTTTTTAATTCTTCTGTTTAGAAAGTTCTATAATAATTTAAGACGTAAGTTTATCGCTTCTATTTTTTCTTGCACCTACATTACACGCATCAGCGTATTACACACTCACACAAATACATACATAAACACATGTATTAGTTTCTGAGCGTAATTTTATTTTCATAACACATTTTAACTTAATATTACTAAGGTTGAGAGTAATTTAATTTCATAGGTAGTTAAGGGCAATAATGTTATTCTAGGAACAATCTTGTGATGTAAATTTTTCATCTAATTTCTATTTTCTTTATCATTAATTAAATAATATTTTTAATAATAATGATAAATATACTGTTAAAATTATCACTGATAATGCGAACAAATTGTTAGAAGGGCTAAAAAATTGTTTTCTTTGTCTTTTTTTGTTTAAATAATAAATAAAACAATTGCACATGACTTAGTTCTTTAATTATTTAAGACTTACGCCTTAAATTATTATAAAACTTAAAGACTTACGTCTTAAATTATTATACACATACACATGTAAGTTAAAAACATACATACATACATACGTACACACACACAAACACAAACACACACATACATACATGCATGCATGCACTTGCTGTTATATTGTCGTAATTTGTCCATTCTTCTTCATTTTTCCTACTTTTGTAACATAAAACCAAAAATATAATGTGTAATATGAGCAGTGTTAACAGCCGATAGATAAGCTAGGGATTGTAAAATAAAGTAAAAACGCTAAAATATGTTAAATAAAATACTTGAAACATGTAAAATTCCTAAAACGTAGAAATACAAAATTGTTGGTGAGTTGAGTTAATGATTATAAATAAGCTAGGGTCCTGAGAGTAATTGTACGTAATTGTAGGTAGGTGACTGACTACATTCTTGCAACTTCTTTTTTGTTTTGTGTGATGTGTTGGTTTGTTTTTGCTTCTTAGCACCACACCAACAAAACAAACTACATTTTATTATCGTCGTCGCCTTAAATTTTACCTTTTTGAACAATCTTTTTAGTAATGTCTATTTATTTATTTATTAATTGTTGACTGGTTTCTAG